CAAGGAAAAACTTGTTCCTCTAGTCCATTGTTCCACTAAGCTTGTAAAAACGTCCGTTTACAACGCCTTAGCCCTATCACTTAAGAAGCTCTCCACGTCTTCTTCAAGTGTATATGTCTTCTTGGATGCACTTCTGGCTTCCCTAAGACTGGTCCTTTCACTGAGCATTCCCGGAAGTATCACCACTTCACTGCTCCAGGTACTTGGACGTCCTTCTTGTGAAAGAAGAGGTTCTGTTGAGAACAGGGGTTCCTCCAACTTGCTTCGTTACAAAAGATTTGTATGTGAAGAGCTTGAAGAGTTGAAGAACACTTGGAACTTTGCTTGAGTTGGAAGTAAGGATTTTTCCAACGTCTGCCTTCCCTTGTAGAAGATAATGAAGATTTAATCTCAAGGAGGCTTTTTTGCGTTTTTAGCGTTTGAATATTTTGTATGCGCACAGTTGTAGCAAAAGTTATCCGCTTGTTCTTCGTAGTGTATCTTTTATACTGAGGTTGTCTTCCCGTTGGAGGAGAAGGAGGACAACTTCATTAAATGAGCGAGCAGTTGACTTGACCAGTAGGACCCGGTAAAGTTGGTGGGTTACTATTTTGGGATAAAGTTATCCTGACATTGCGGCCAATCATCTGCAATTACTCTACAGAGTACGGGATGCATTAAATGTGCATTTAATGCGCGTACTGTAGCTTTTCCGTTCAAGACTCCTAGCCGTTGAAGGAATCTTTCAGTTGGTTTACCGGCTTGTTGAAACTCTTTGAAGTGTCACGCCTTCTGGTGTCTTTAGCAGTGAGTACATTAGAGAAGGTCTTGAGCACTTCTGTTGAAGAAATATCCAACAGAGAACCAGGAGGGTTTCTGTCAGAGTAAAGGCTAACAGAGACCCTGAGGTCTTCTGTTCTGAAACAGAGAACCAAAGGTCTTCTATTCAACCAAAGACTTATCAAGGGTCCTCTGTCAGGGGGTCTTCTGTTCCGGAGGCTTTCTGCTTTGGAGGCCTTCTGCTCTGGAGGCCTTCTGCCAGTCGATTATACTAAAGAACTTTACAAAGGAAAATTCTAATACATTAAGTCTAAAGAGGGGTACTCTAAAGTCCTAATTAATATAGCATCATCAAAATCTAATTACAAATATTCCTTACAGTTGCAACTCTGAAAGAATCCCTGAGTGAATTCATGCAAACCTCTACTGCCAAAGTTGATTCCCTCTCCACAGAAGTGGATGGTATCATCTCTGTTCTGTACTCTACTACTCAGATGCTCAACGCTCAAAAAATGGCAATTAAAAATATCTCTGAGGCAGTGGACACTCTGCAATGGTCTGACTCAAAGACCAAAGAACAACTCCAAGACATTGAGGAGCTCTGCAAAACCCACAAGCAACATGCCTTATCTTTGCTTAAAGATGACTAGGAAAGATACCAGAAGATGGTATTACTTGAAGCAAGCACCAAAACATCTATTCAGTTGTTCAGAAGCAACAAATTATGATAGAGGGACTGACCTCTGTAACCCAAACTCTCCCAGAGGCTCTTGAAGAGCTTAAGGACGCTCAAGCTTCAGAATTCTCTAAAATTGAGCTCCTACATGGTGATCTTGTTGATGCCAAAAAGGGGAAAGAGATAGCAAAACCCCCATGCCAGACTTCCAGAGCCCTATCTATTATGCCAAGGGGCACCTCTGTTGATCCTGCAGTCTATTTTGAAAAGGCCAGACATAAGAGACTTGCGTCTGGAATCAACAGACCGATCCTCCTCCACCTCCAAAAGGAACCAAGAAGAAAACGTCCAACTTTTCTTTTAATAAATGGATGAAAAGTGGAATGTCAAGACCGGACAGAGCCCAGTTCGAACAGATGAAAAAGCTCATGACTCCTCTACAGCAAGAGAATCTGTTCATGGACAATGATGGACTTGTCCAAATCAATCATGGAGGATCCATTCAAGAAGATGAAGCATGATGGCTAATGAAAATAATCCCAGGCAAGAATATATCAGAAGCAGTGTGAAACTATCTAGATTGCAAGCTTGATTCTCACTGGTCTGAAAACCAGAATCTGAGGAATTTAGCCTCCATCAGAGCCAGAATAAATGCAGAACTCAAAAGGATTGATGAAGCAGGAGTACAGGTAGAAGAGGAAGGCTCTTAAACCTTCTCTCTTGTATCTTTAAATTTTCTGATAAATAAGATATCATCTCTGCCTCTAATTTGAATGGCACTATTCAATCTCTGGTTCTTTTTGCTCTCTGTACTTACCCTTCTATCTATTGTTTCTTATGCTCTGATAATTTGTATTTTATCTTCTTTGTTTCCTTACCATTACTGCTTTCCTATGCTAAGTTGCCCACCAAGATTTATAATGAAAGTTTTTAACTAAACTCTTTTTATGAGGAAAGGCACTTCTCTGGAAGTAGTTTAAGGGTTTTGGCATCATCAAAAAGGGGGAAATTATAAGGAATAAATGTATTTAGGTTTTGATGATGCTAAGTAGATTAGAACTTTAAAGTACCCCTTTAGAAATCTTGTATTAGAATTTTCTTTGTGTAAGTAATATCATAGTCGACCGGCCAGAAACCCTCTTTGGTTCTCTTGATCCGAGTTGCTACCAAAGCTGCTCATCAGAGTTGCTACCACGACTGGTCATCAGAGTTGCCATCAGAGTCAGACATACGAGGAGAGCAAGGACTGCATCCCGGGTGGCAACTAGACTTGAAGAAGACGTGGAGAGCTTCTTAAGTGTTAGGGACTAAGGCATTGTAATTTGTTGACTTTACAAGTTATGGAACAGTGGACTAGAGGAACACATTGTTCCTTGAACCACTATAAGCATTTACTTTCTGCTCTTAAGATTCTAACTGGTTAACTCAAAGACTTGGACTTTGTGTTCAACAGATCTTGTCCTGAGAGTTATCAGAAAGGCACTTGCCTTAGTGTTCTCCTGAGGCTACCCAGACAAAACTCTTATCCGCTGCCAAGTCCAGTTCTGCCATCAGAACTCGACCCTCTCTGTCACCAGAATCAGACCTTCTCTCAAAAGTCAGTGTTGACTTAGAGAAAAGTTTGAAAAACCTGAACAGTCTATTCACCCCCCCTCTAGTCTGTTCCCAGTATAAACGAGACCAACAGTTTGTGAGATAAAGCATGAGAATAATGCTTCTCTTTGAATAGCTGACCTAGTACGAACTCCTTCATGGATGTTTCCAAGGATTTGGTAAAGAGGATGTTGGTTTAACCATCTAATGTCGTATGTTTGAACGGTTTGAGTTTGCTGCTCATCCTCCTCTTCTTCTACACTATCCTCCGGTAGAATAGGATGATTAGGAACTTCAGGCCTTGTGATAGGATTGGCTGGAACATCTGGGAGGTTGATTCTGGACGAGTCATCTGCCGGCAGTGGTCTGGCATTTGAGGCAACTGCTGGCAGTGGGCTGCCGTTTGAGTCAACTGCTGGCAGTGGGCTGCCATTTGAGTCAATTGTTGTTTCCAGAATTCTGCCGTCTTTTTGTTTATTATTTCTGGGAAGGCAGCTTGGAGCCTTTCTAATGTCTTTCTTTGTTTTAGATGACTCACCTTCATCCCTTTTATGAGCAGTGAAGTGGTTGTCAAAGACCACATGAATTGATTGTTCTACAACCAGAGTTCTTTGTTTAGAATCCAGAATGCCTTGCTTGTAGCTGAGTAGCCCAGAAAGATCCCTTCATCAGATTCGGGATCAAATGGCTTAAAATAATCTTTTCTATTGTTTAACATGAAGCATTTGCATCCAAACGTATGAAAATGACTAACATTTAGCTTCCTTTCCTTCCAAAGTTCATATGGTGTCTTTTTTTAAGTCTTATGAACAAGACTTCTATTCTAAGTGTAGCAGACAATATTGATTGCTTCTGCCCAAAATCTTTTGGGAAATCCTGTTGCTTCTAGAATAGTTCTTCCTGGTTCTTTGAGAGTCTTGTTCCTTCTCTCAGCAATACCATTTTGTTAAGGTGTTCTTGTTGCTGATGTTTGGTGATGGATTCCATTTTCTTCATAGTACTGAATTACTATAGAGTTCAGAAATTCTGTACCTCTGTCTGATCGGATCTTCTGAATTGAAAGACTTTTCTCATTCTGGATCAGTTTCCACAATTCAGGGAGCTTCTTTTCTATCTCATTCTTCTTCTTGAGGAATAGGATCCATGTGTATCTGGAGTAATCATCAATTATAACCAAGGTATACCTTTTGCCACTTAAGAAAGTATATATATATATATATATATATATATATATATATATATATATATATATATATATATATAAGAAAGTATATATCTCATCATAGTACCATCGTATATCAAAATACCATTTTATAACATTTTATCAACCATCTTTGTTTAGATCATATATTAGAAATTATTATTTTTTCAATAAAGCAAAAATGATTTTGAGGTTAAAAAATAAGAAGATTGTTTAATAAATTTTCAGATTTGTTTTACAAAATTTATATAGGCAATACTGCTGTCATATGAAAGATCGTAAAAAGTTATAAATGTTGATATATTTTTTATAAAAATTGGATGTGTAATAAAAAAGTTAAAACATTTTATAGAAAAATGGAGTTTTCGTAACATGGGATCCCCTAATGTATAGCTTCATGGTATGTCTTTGGAATTATTACTCGGTATTTAGAAAGTGAAGAACCATAGGTTGACACATGTCTAAATTATAGAAATGGAGTGAAATAAGGAGGGATAACCATGTGTGAATTTGAAGGACGAAATGATATTTTCATGAACTATTTATTTTCTTATATATTCCTTCTGTTCTTTATAACTTTGTCAATTTTTCTTTTTTGGATGTCCCATTAACTTTGACACTTAGTAAAGAATTTGTGGTTTCAATTAATTCTCTCTTGTCTTCACAAACTTCAAACACACAGTTTTTACTTTGTTAATATCCGTGTTGGTCAAACTTTGCAAAATTATGGAAGGAGGGAGTATATAAATACAATAGATGCCCAATCCTCCCATAGTGGGTGCTCTCACATTCAAATCGCTCGCTCGATATATATCTAGTCAAGTCAACCAACTCTGAGAACAGAAACAATAATGTCTCCTCCCTCTACCGCGCATCGATTTCTCCTCGTCTTCTTATTCTGGTCGATCAAATTAAACGACGCGGCAGCCGATGATGATGCTGCTGCTGCTAGGGATATCTCACCCAAGTACTGCGGCCCTTCCACAGCCAGCAGCAGCTGCAAGAGGAATTTGAATATTTTATATCCCTTCTGGAGGGCAGACGATGAAGGCAAAATCTGTGGCTACCCTGGATTCAGCATAAACTGTTCCAACACCGATCCTGACTATCCCCAAATCGCTATTTCCGGCGGCGCCTTCCTGGTGAAGAGAATCGATTATGGAGATCATTCAATCGCGCTTGCGGATGCCGACGCCATCGCCTCTGGCGACTGTCCCACCCCTCGTCAGAACCTCACTTCCAGCAGAACGCAGCCGTTCATTTACAACCACACATTAGATGTAGCGATCGTTTTCTACGCTAACTGCAGCCATCCGCTTGACGGCGGTACCCGCTATCCTTGTTCAATTGACGACAAAACGTCATACTGGTCTGTCGGGCCGACTCATTTGGGTTGGGACGGAAATTGCGAGGGAGCGCTGCAGACGGCGGTGATGGGAAGATCCGATGAAATTGGGGCGATGTTGAATGAAGGGTTCGTACTGAATTGGGATGCCAAGGGGGAGAACTGCACCGCGTGCGAGAAGTCCAAGGGGCGGTGCGGCCTTGAAACTACTTCCGGCGACTTCTTCTGCTTTTGCAACGGGACTGTGACCCCACATGACTGCCTTTCTTCTCAAAGTACGTACCACACGCTACCTCATTTACTTGTGCATAAATAAATAGGTGAATTCTATGATACAACCAAACCTTTGTCTCGACGTGCACCGATCAGAATCATGCAATTGAATTATTTAAACCTAAATTAAAAATGATGTAATGATTTGGATCAATTAAGTGAATGATAGGTACCGTAACTCATTTTTTAAATGGGTACCAGAGTTGTCATCAAATAAATAAAAGAAGAAATTTAATCCTAAATATAATATACTTCCTTCATTTCACCGTTAAAGCCATACTTTCATGTTTAGGAAAAAAGGATGACACTTCATCCCGATCGCTCCCAACCCTGACCGGATCGTTGGGAGGATATAAATTGGAGTATAATCTCAATTTGACAGATAGAGAGTGATGTTGTGTTCCCGGTACTTGCAGAGACCTTATTCATTTTAGCATAGTAACCTCTCATCGCAGTTGCCGGGATTCGAACCCGGGATCTAACCCTTGTGGCACTCCCTTGGTACCAGTTGAGCTACGTCCACCGGTTACTTTCATTTTTAGGATGTTTCGAAATAAAGTCACACTTCTTTATTTGATAAGCAAACCAGTATCAAGAGTATCAAACAGTATCGAAACAGTGCACTCTACAGTAAATTTACCCCTCCATCCTTTAACAATAGGATGACAGAGTATTAACAATATGTCAACATCCATTCATTTCTTTGCTTATGTTCTTACTCCCTTCATCCTTTATAACTTTGATAACTTTCTTTTTTTGGATGTCTCACTAACTTTGTCACTTTTCATGTTAAGTAAAAAATTTGTAGTACCAATTCAACTTCTCTTCTTTGTACAAGCCTCAACCACATAGTTTTTACTTTATTATTCTCCATGTCGTCCATATTCGGAAAAATTATTAGGGACAGAGGGAGTATCATTTTTCCCGAGGGAGGGTAAATGGGAAGGCCGGCTGGCGTTCCAAAATAGGAACAGTCAAAATTGGTAGTTAGAAACAGTGAGGGATGGACGGACTTTTCTTTTCTACCGACTAATCAAATCACTTCCATGGACTCACGAGTCACGACTACTTCAACTCAATCTTTATTCACTACAAAGAGGGCCGCCCGGTTTACATACTACCGCCAATTCCTCATTTTTTGTGGAAAATTCTTGTTGCACACAAATTACATGTATACACGAAACGGATACTATCTCCGTCTTAGTGGATTTTTACAAATGCAAAGTAGGTGAGAAATAAGAATAGTAAAAATTGCTGATTTTTAGATGATGTACACAAACAATTAGGGGATGTATATAATTTGTGTACTAATGTTGTGTATAGATTGTACACATCCCTAACTGTTTGTAAACACATACAGTGATACGGTTCATTAAAAAATTGGTAATTGTCCGTGAATGATCTACTCCCTCCGTCCCTTAAAAATTGGTCATTGTCCGTAAAAACATTTTTTTTTCTCCCAACGTACTGTCCGGTCGGGGTTGGGGGGCCCTCAGGGATGGGGTGTCATCCTTTTTTTTGTCATCTTTTCTTTTTAGACGTCCCGAAAAACTTTGTCAATTTCCCTTTAAATCAACTATTTTGTGATTTCTGTTATTTCTCTCTCCTCTGCACAAACCTCAACCACACAGTTTTTACTTTATTATTTTTCGTGTCAGTCAACTTTGATAAAGTTTTAAGGGACGGAGGTAGTATGTAATTAAGCAGTGTATAATTTCTATACAAATTTGGTGCACAAAAGAGAATCTCCCCATTCTTTGTTTTATCTAATCCAATCCAATCCCCATAAAAGCACTACCGCCACTTTCCTTGCCTTTTATTACGGACACTTTTCGTAGAGAACTCCCCTCTTCCCAAATTTATAGGGAGTATGAAAGTTGTACTTTTTAATCATGCAAGTTGGTTTTATTTATTTAGGATGCAATTTTTAATATACGGAGTACAACTTTGAATTTGTAGGTTTTATAGATCTTTTAATATGTAAATTTTAATTATTAAAATTGATTTATTTAAAGACGATTTAACTTTATTTTCAATTAATCTTACAAAGCCGAAATAAATTTGGGAAGAAATAACTATATTGTTTTTTTTTTTGGATAAAATGTAAATATATATATCTAGAAAAATAACAATACATGTATCAAAAAGATCTATCTAAGCTAGCAGGCTAAACTAAAATAGAATCTACCGTCTCCGCCCCCCGCCCCCCCCCCCCCCCCCCCCTGCGGCAGGGGGAGGAGAGAGAAGTTTTTCCGAAGTCCAAAAGACATCACAAAAATACAATCCAAGAATGGTACGGGACAGTCCCCGACTCATTCATCAAAAATAAATCAAAACCCAAATCCAAGCCAATGAAGGCCCATCATTGGGAAAATCCAGCAAAAAGATCATCATCATCCAATCTTCCTAGCTTCTGGGCCAGCAAAGGCCCGTCCACTACTCAGCATCAAAGTAACAGGGCATCCCTTCCATCGAGCGCCGCATCTGCTCCCTAATTCCAAATTCGAATTTCAAAAAAAAAATGGGACTGGTCAGTCAAACGACAGTCTGGTAGTGCAGCTATCAGTCAGAGTCAACCCACCCCACCCCACCTCCCAGCCACCCCAATAGGCGCCGGTACCACCCGTCGGTCAGGCGACCGGAGAATGAAGCACGTAACCCAAACCGGAAAAGTCACCCCTGTAGTCCGAGCCTCCATACTATATTGTTGATGTTATTGTTTGACGGAGTATATGAGCCCAAGTGCCCAACCATGTGGCCTACATACTCACACTTGTCTATAATTGGCCCAACCCTATTCGGGTCCCTTAGCCAGAACAAGGGCATCTTTACATGAACGGTTCAACTAATAGTGATACAACTTCCTGAATAGACGGACGAAATTATCCTCATTTGATGTTCCTCAATTGAGCTAGCACCCTAGACTAGGTTGGAGGTGCTACTCATAGTTTGTTAGAAACCAGAATATCAGCAAACAGTTTCCGTATTATTAACAATGGAGATTGAGGAATTCTCAATACTCCAGAATGATTACAGGGAAGATAAAGAGAAAAACAACCAAATCTAGAGAAGGAACAAGGAGTTTCTCTCTAGCCAAAGCCCAGCCATTTCTAACTGAATACCAGCCTGCCCTCCCCTATTCCCCTCCCTTCCTTATATTCAGAAATCAAACCAGCACATTAATTACTCCTGCCCCCTCATTCCCCTCCTCACATAAACTCCCGTCCCTTCATTCCCCTCCTCACATAAACTCCCGTCCCTTCATTCCCCTCCTCACATACACTTTATTAAAATACTCTACACCCCTTGTGCTATCATTACCCTCCCCTTGAACTACCACCTTGTCCCCAAGGTGGAATATTGGGAACTGCTTCTGAAACTTGTTTAAATCTTCCCAAGAATCCTCAAAAGCTGGCAGCTGCTTCCAATGAATTAGCACTTCCTTCTCCCCATTAGGATTTACTCTGTAATCCACCACCTCTTCAGGCTGCACTTGTAACTCCCACTCTTCTGAGATGCAGGTAGGTAGGGGCTGGCAGGGAAGGTTAGGAGATACTGCCTTCTTCAGCAAAGAGATATGGAACACTGGATGCACTGTGCAACCCTCGGGTAGTTTCAGTTTGAATGCCACAGGATTTATTTTTTCTATCACTTCAAAAGGCCCATAGAATCTTGGGCTTAACTTCTGGTTCATCCTTTTAGCTAGACTTTTCATTTTATAAGGCTGAATTTTTAAGAATACCTTGTCTCCCACCTCCACTTGTAAGGGCCGTCTATGTTTGTCAGCCTGCTGCTTCATCCTGTTTTGGGCCATAGCTAAACTGCTCTTCAATTCTTCTAGCATTAAATTCCTCTCAGCCGTCAACTTGTTGACTTCTTCTACTGATGTCACAGTTACATCTCCCCTCACAATAGCGGGAGGATCTTGTCCATATAAGGCCTTGTAGGGGGTATTCTTGATAGATATGTGATAATTAGTATTGTACCAATATTCGGCCCATGGGAGCCATTTAGGCCACTGTTTAGGCTTCAATCCAGTGATACATCTCAAGTAGGTTTCTAAGCACCTGTTCACCACCTCCGTTTGTCCGTCAGTTTGAGGATGGTAAGCTGTGGAGTACTTCAGTTTGGTGCCTGCCATCCTGAACAATTCTGACCAAAAAGAACTCAAGAAGACCCTATCCCTGTCAGATACTATGGATTTAGGGAATCCATGTAATCGTACCACCTCCTGAACGAAGACTTCTGCCACCTCCTTGGCTGTGTAAGGATGTACAAGGGCTATGAAGTGGGCATATTTGGTTAGCCTGTCCACTATCACCAAAATTGTATCCTTCCCTTGAGCCTTGAGCAACCCTCCAATAAAATCCATGCTGATATCTGCCCATATTCTGTCAGGGATGGGCAAAGGTTCCAATAATCCTGCTGGACTGAGGGTCTGATACTTGTTTCTTTGGCATACTTCACATCCTTGCACATATTCTTGTATGTCCCTTCTCATGCCCACCCAATAGAATAAACCAGATACTCTCTTCATAGTTCTGAAGGCCCCGACATGCCCTCCAATTGCAGAATCATGGAATTCTTTCAAAATTAGAGGTATTCTAGGAGATTGCTTAGGTAGTACCAATCTTCCTTGATAATACAATAAGCCATTTCTGAACTTGAAATCTGGTATACTAGCTGGATTTCCTATCACTCTTTGTATGATATTCTGATATCTCTGATCTGCCTTCAATTCCTCATCTAGCCCTTCCCACTCTTGACAGGTAACAACGGACAAACTGTGTATACTACCCTTCCTGGAGAGGGCATCTGCTGCCTTATTCTCACTGCCGGGTTTGTACTTAATCACAAAATTGTATCCCAAAAGCTTGGCAACCCACTTTTGTTGTTCTTCCCCCATTATTCTCTGTTCTGTTAGAAACCGTAGGCTTTTCTGATCCGTGTGCACCTTGAAGACCCTGCCTAATAAATAGGGTCTCCATTTTTGTATAGCCAGTACGATTGCCATCAATTCTCTTTCGTACACCGATTTATTCTGGTTCCTCTTAGATAAAATCTTACTCATATAAGCCACAGGTCTCCCCTCCTGCATTAAAACTGCTCCTACACCTGTCCCGGAAGCATCTGCCTCAACCACAAAAGTCTTTGTAAAATCCGGAACCCTGAGAACACCTGTCATAGCTTTCTTTAAGTGTTCAAAGGCGTGAGAAGCCTCGGGGTTCCATTTAAATGCATCTTTCTTTAATAGGTTTGTTAGGGGCGTTGCAATCTTACTATACCCTTTTACAAACCTCCGGTAGTAACCTGTTAGGCCCAGAAATCCCCTCAATCCTTTGACTTCTTTAGGTTCGGGCCAGTCCAACATGTCCCTAACCTTCCCTGGGTCAGCAGCTACTCCTTCCCCAGAAATTATATGACCCAAGTAGGTCAGTTGTTTCTGCCCTATTATACACTTTTTAGGATTAGCATACAACTGGTTGTCCTTGAGTAACTGTAGGATGGTACTCAAGTGTTCTTTGTGTTCACTTTCTGAATGACTGTAGATAAGTATGTCATCAAAAAATACTAAAACAAACTTCCTCAAATACTTCCTTAAAATATGATTCATCAAAGCTTGAAAAGTGGAAGGTGCATTTGTTAATCCAAAAGGCATTACCAGGTACTCGTAATGTCCTTCATGCATTCGAAAGCAGTCTTGTGTCTATCCTCTTCTTTCATTCTGATCTGGTGGTAGCCCGATTTCAGATCAAGCTTAGAGAATACCGTGGCTCCTCCCAATTCATCCAGTAACTCTTCAATTATGGGTATGGGGTACTTGTCAGGCACTGTGATCTTGTTTAGGGCTCTGTAATCTCCACAGAACCTCCAACTACCATCATTCTTTTTAACCAAGAGCACATGACTACTATACGGGCTGGTACTGGGCTGGATAATCCCTGTATTTAGCAACTCCTTCACAATTTTCTCTATCTCATCTTTCTGGTAGTGAGGGTACCTGTAGGGTCGTATGTTAGGTATTTCAGCTCCTTCCCTAATGTTGATAGCATGATCACAACTTCTTTTAGGGGGTAACCCTGCTGGCATTTGAAAAACCTCCTTATGCTTGTCCAACACGTCCTGCCAAAATCCTCCTGGTGCAGCCCCATTAACACAAGATTCCCACAGGTCACAAAAAAACCTTGGCCTTCATTTTTAATAGCCTTTACAAGTGCTTTCCAGGAAACTTGCACTTGATTTAAAGTTGGATCCCCTTGTAGGCTCTTTATTTTCCCGTCTTCCCACCACTGAAGTGTGAGATCCTGGAAATTGATCTCTACATTCCCCAAACTGGCAAGCCATTCAACCCCAAACACTAAATCTGTCCCTCCCAGCTCCAACAGGTAGAAGTTTTGTGTAATATTAAGGCCTTGCACCCCAACCTGCAATCCCACACACCTCCTATTGTTGCTCACTCTGTCCCCATTACCCAATTCCACCTGAAATCCATCAATTTGGATGTATGGCAATTGTAATTCCTCCACTATGGCTTGTGATATGAAATTATGGGTGGCTCCACTGTCAATCAGGATCAACACAGATCTGTGTAACCCCTTTTCCATCAATTTCCCTTCCAACTTGAAAGTCTTCTGTGTAGTGATCCCTTGTTTGCTCATGGTTGACAGTTGCATTTGTTGCGGTTCTAGGGAGATATTTGTCTCTTTCAAATTCACTTCTGAATCCATAGTATCTGCTTCTTCCTCAGGCCCCTCTGTGAGAATAAACTGGTAGTATTTCATTTTGCACACATGATCCTTGCCCCATCTTTCCCCGCATTTGAAACATAGCCCCTTCTTGCTTCTGTCTTGTAATTCTGCTTGTGTTAGCCTCTGGCCACCCTTCCAGTTATATTTTTCCCCTCGAAATGCAGCATTCTTCCCTTCTAACACCAGCGAGATATTCATCAGTTCAGGCATAGTAGCATTTGGGTACAATTTGAGTTCAGCCTTCACCTCTTCCTTCAGGCCATTAAGGTAAATTCCTTTGAGTATTTCCTCATCAATATGCTTCATTGGACCTACCACCAGTTCAAAACGTTCTCTATATTCCATTACCGATCCAGTTTGTTTAATGCTTAGCATCGGTCCATAAGGATTCTGCAGCAGTTCTGGTTGAAATCTCCGTATTAGTGCTCCTTTAAATTCCTCCCACGATTTCTCCTCATTTTGTTTTTCCCACCACTGGAACCAGTTCAGGTCTTTTTCCTCCATGGCCAGGACAACCAGCTCCACTTTTTCCTGATCGTGCACCTGGTTCAACTTGAAGAAGCGTTCCACTCTAATAATCCAACCATGAACATCAACTCCGTTGAAAAGAGGCAAATCTACCTTCCTTCCCGTCCTCTCAAATCCGCGATTGACACGCGTATCACCTGGTTCGTGAGACGAAACTGACGCACTGTGAGAATTACCTCCAGAGTGCGACTCCCTTGTCTGAGTACGTGTACCCGTTCGCTTAGTCGTACGCGACCTCCCCCTGGATAGTCTATGACTCTGGTTGGTCGCGATAAGGCGCAGTTCGACCATCACTCCATCCAACTTGTCGGAGATCGTGCGCACCTCTGTACAGTTGCGTTCCAGTTTCTGCTCGATGTGGTTTACACTTTGTTCGAGATTCTCAACTCGATGTTCCATTTTTGAACGCGTCAATCTCATTCACAGTCCGCAGGAACGGACCGCTCTGATACCAATGTTAGAAACCAGAATATCAGCAAACAGTTTCCGTATTATTAGCAATGGAGATTGAGGAATTCTCAATACTCCAGAATGATTACAGGGAAGATAAAGAGAAAAACAACCAAATCTAGAGAAGGAACAAGGAGTTTCTCTCTAGCCAAAGCCCAGCCATTTCTAACTGAATACCAGCCTGCCCTCCCCTATTCCCCTCCCTTCCTTATATTCAGAAATCAAACCAGCACATTAATTACTCCTGCCCCCTCATTCCCCTCCTCACATAAACTCCCGTCCCTTCATTCCCCTCCTCACATAAACTCCCGTCCCTTCATTCCCCTCCTCACATACACTTTATTAAAATACTCTACACCCCTTGTGCTATCATAGTTTTGTCTACATCAGGAGTTGGTGGAGTAGGCTTCCGTTTAGTAACATGTTTTTTTAGTTTTCTTTGGTTTTGGTAATCCCCTTTGAATAGCGGGCCTCGTTCATGTTACCAAAACAAGGAACCAATAAAAGTTAAACCTCGCATTATTAAGTGTGACTTTAACTATTCGTAGTAAGGCGGACTCCCACCGCAGAGGTCACCTCACTAATTGACTTTTAAGTACATAAACATATGGGGAATTTGGGGAATTTAATCTAACATTGGACTTCGATGAACTCCTAATCTTGGAACGATAAGTCCTCCGAGAGCACCTTCCATCATGACCTTACTCCCTCTAATCTCATTTTGGAACTAGAATATCATCCACCCTTTGTCGTGTAGTCTAACTCTACACTCAAACCCCCACTCATCCACAAGGCGATGAATGACCTTAAGGCAAGGAACTTCCCCATAAAACATTCAACTATGCAATACCACAACATATCAACAATACTGAGTAGGGTATTTGGTATTGTTTGAAAAAACAACCATCTCCCATTTTGGAGCGATATACCTAAGCTTGAGTTATTAGTACAGAGCGCGGGTGTCTTTAAACAAAGTAGTTCATATCTTCTCTGATTCTTCCTCCTACGTTTTGGTTTGGGCGGTGTCCTCCTTCTTTGGTCTCGTTTGATTTGATCATTCACATTTATAGAACTTAATGTGAGGTCGAAGGGCCAATTAGATTATAGATCATTCTATGATCTTACAACATCATTTGATTATATTAGACGCACCGTCTCATCCCCTTGAGAGCATGAGGAGAGGATCCTATTGTTTTTGACAATAGTGAAAAAACAAAAGGTTTACCTTGAGAAGTATAATTATAATAATTTTCAATTCAATTATTAATGTATTTAAGCCGCAAAAATTCTTCGGTATCTTGATATTTAATGCTTTACACTTTTTAAACAAACATCTTGTTTTATTATCATCCTTAATCCATGTTTGCTTGGTGTAAAAACGATATAATCATGAACCTCAAGAAGAAATTCTTTGTGAAACATTATATTCTTGTCATGTCTATTGTACATTCAACTTTTAATTTTCTATGTATTATGCTTGAATATTATGAAAGTACTATATTAAAAAAATTAACTCCGCACATCAACAATAGTTAATACATATTGAAAGAGATTTTAAAAGCAGAGTATATAATAATGAATGAATTAATCAAACATAATGAATGTAATAATTACAAAGTGAGTATTTTTTTTAATTTCCCGGTGAAAATTCGATACCTGAAGGTGTTGCGATGAAGGCCAGGGAACACCTTACATGTTTATTAAAAATGTTGCAGTACAAATATTAGGAGGGCCAAACCAAAACCTACTCGAGAAAAATTTAAACTTACAGAAGCAAAAAATAAAACATTACAAAGTCTTCTAGTTTACTGTATATTTAAAATTGTTGGGGGAGACTGGACTGCATTCATAGATCTTTGTTGTATTTGTTATATAATTTGATCGTCCTTTTGAATGTATGAAGTGTAAGTATTCTTTTCCGGATGTGATTGGCGGCGGTACTAGGCCAGCCCTTGCACCAGTTTCTGAAGCAATTCATACTGTGCAATTCATCACGGCTGTTTAGGGGTCGAGATTGGTAACAGGACAAGAATTTTTTGAGTTTGAATGGATTGACATTCTATCGAAAGGTTGTACGATGTGAATGGATTAATATACATAATGATTTCTTTA